GATCAGGTGTTTTCTACGAGTTCTAACTGAGATCAGGTGTTGTCTACGAGTCATACTTGAGATCAGGTGTTTCTCAGACAGCATGATCTTGGTGACGGGACTCCGGTGGACTGAGAATGTCTGGAAGAGCTGGGGTCCTGAACCGACCGTCTCAGGATGCTGAACAATGACTCGAACTGTGCCAGAACTGGTCCCATATGCGATCTCGATCCAGTTCCCACTGTCACCTGAACAGATCCAACATTTAATGATCAAACTTGATGCTTTTCATTCATTCAACCTTTATTTACACAGGTTAGTCTCACTGAGCCATGAGGACACATTTACAAGAGAGACCTGTTTTAGACAAAACCACAATAAAATAAAAATAAAAAGTAGTTTTATAAAATAAAATCAAGGTGCCTTATAAAACAAGCTAAAAAACAATAAAACTAAACATTTGCTTTGACTTTTCTATTGAACTTATCAATTGTTTAAAATCCCATAAAGAGGTCAAGGTCAAGAGCTTCAGATCTTTTTGTAAGATATTCCAGGAAACAGGAGCGGAGCAGGAGAAGGACCTTTTGCCGAGTTCAGTCCACAGTGAGGGGACACTGCAGGTAATGATGTCTCGAACACGCACGCTGTAGCTGCACTGACGACGTGACATGTAGGAGGAGATGTATGAAGGCAGCAGACCAAGAAGTGATTTAAAGATGAAAATGTACCAGTGAGAGTCTGTGTGAAGTTAATGATGTCCAGTTAACCAGTGAATACTGGGTGCAGTGGTGGGTACGATAATCACAGCCAGTTATGAATCTTAGCGCACCATGATAGACAGCATCCAACATCTGCAGGGTTCTTGTAGGAGCGTTCATGTAAATAATGTCACCATAATCAATGGAGGGAAGGAAAGTCACAGATACAAGATGTTTCCTAGCATTCAGAGTTAGACAGGATCCGTTTCTGAAAAAGAAACCCAGTTTAACTTTCAGTTTCTTTATCAAGTTTTCAACCTGTGGCTTAAAAGAGAGATGTGCATCGACCAAGATTCCAAAGTATTTGTAAGAATCAACAAACTCAATAAGAACACCATTCATAGATAAGACAGAAGGAAGGACTGCTGGTACCGACTTCCTGTTTGAAAACAACATCCCTTTGGTTTTATCAGTTCTTAGCACCAGTTTGAGACGGAACTAGCCTGATTGAATAATGTCGAATGTAGACTAAAAGCTGGAAAACCTTAGCAACTGTTTTTTCTCAACAACCACTGTATCGTTGGCATAGAGATGCAAGGAGGCGTCAGGAATGGTCTGACCTACATTACTTATGTAGATTGTAAAAAGAGTGGGTCCTAAGACTGAGCCTTGTGGTACACCATTATGTTATGTTTGATCCAACCTCACAGAATATCAGTGGTTTTAGGAGCTTTATCTGATGTGGGATCAGTTTCTGGTTGTTCTAGCCCTTACTGGTTTTGGGGGTCAGGTAGACGCTGAGAGCAGTGATGGCGTCTTCAGTTGGATCTCTGTAGAGTTCAGTCACCAGCAGATCGTTGTCCTTCATCCTCAGAGGAAACTTCTGGACATCTGACCAACAGAAGAACATCAGAACCTTGAGCTTCAAACTCACTAACAGTTCTTTACAGAAGGAAGTTGTTATTGATTCTAACACAGTGCTTCTCAATTATTTTCGGTCACGCCCCCCCGCAGGAAGAAGTAAACATTTGGCTCCCCAAACGACAAGACAGACATATTTGTTCATAACTTTATTTTTAGTCAGACTGAGAGTTGCTGGATTTTAGCAAATTGTTGCTGAACACATCCTGACACAATGAGAATGGTGCAAAAAACAAACAAAAAAAACCTAATCCCTGCCGCAAAATGTTCCCCGGGGTCACATGCGCACCCCCAGGCATTGCTCCGGGCCCCCCCAGGGGGGCGCGCCCCACTATTTGAGAAGGACTGTTCTAACAGAACCTAAAGAATTTTTGCATAGGGTTACCAGTTCTAACAAAACCGAGGAAAGTTCTGCAGATGGTTACCGGTTCTACCAAGAACATAAAGATCTGAAGATGTTTACTGGTTCTTACAGGAACCCGAAGAGGTTCTGCAAAGGGTTACCTTTCTTTTCTTTTTTTTAATGAGTTCTGTAGAAGGATACCAGCTCTTATTAAAAACTAGAGAAGTTCTGCAGAGGGTTAAATAAAGAGTCTTGCCTATGTAGTAGATCGATCCGTTGTTGCAGCCCAGGATGAGGAAGGAGCCGGCGGTGTCGTAGCTGCTGATGGGAACCACATCCTGGTTCTGCAGAAAAACCACAGAACAGCTGAATCAGACCGGAACATTCTTGTCCAGCTGGTTTTATCTGGTCTGATGATGGTGAGGAGTAAAATCTGCTGAGTCAGGATAAATAATGTTTCTGTCCCTTTAAAGGTATCGAAGAGGACCACGGTTCTGGACCATGTTCAGATGGAGCTTCTGGACCTCAGACGCCTGATGTTAAAGCTGCACCAACAGAGGAACTGAACATCTCTAAAGCTGGGTCTAACTGATGCCTGCAGTAATGTAATGACTGCCTGTGTCTGTTAGCAAAATATCTCATGAGTAGACCACATCGGCCTCCTGTCCCCTGAAGTTTTAATAAAATATTTTTTAATCTGAAGTAGATCACAACCTTCTGGTTGGACTTGACAGAACAGCCCGGTTCTCGCTCTGAAACGCCATCAGATCAAAGAACTCGAGCGTGGCTCCGCCCACCTGCCAGTGTTTGGTGACGGCGTTCCAAACCCCGACCTTCCCCGTGTGGCTGGTGGCGATCAGCTGGTTACCGACGAAGAAGAGAGCCTCGGCTGGGACGTTCAGGCTGAAGACGCCTGGAGGACAAACAGAGACCGCCGGAGACGAGTCAGAACCACAACAGATCCAAAAACACCAGAACCATCCGAGTCCCAACTCAGGACCAGATGTTCTGGTACCAGATGTTTAATCCAGCAGGTTTATTTCCCCCCCGTTTCATTTGAAATCTTGTTTCCTGACAGAACCGAGTCTGAAAACTGGACTTCATCACCGGGCGGAGGCGACCGCGGCGACTCGTACCGATCTCGGTCCCGTTGCCATCCGGACAGATGGACCACAGGATGATCTCCGTCACCGAGGCGACGGCCACCATCTTGTCGTTGTCTCCCAGCGAGCCGCCCATCACTTTGGCGTTGAGCGCGACTCTGTCGATGGTGCAGTCAAGGCGAGGAGACGTGAAGACCTGCTGCCAGCCGGTGGACTCCTTCACCCTGAAACAGGCGGGACAAAGGTCCACCTTCAGCTCACCAGGGTCACACAACAACAACAACAACAACAACAACAACAACAACAACAACAACAACAACAACGTCTTCAGGGAACAAAGTCAATATTTTCTGCAGATGATGAGATTCAGTCAAAAATGGAGACCTGCACGTTTCATCTTCATCACACTGAACACCTGAGGCTCCTCCTCCTCCTCAACAATCCAGTGGTTCTGATGATCAGAACCATCAGAACCTGAACTTGTGTTTTAGTCTGATTAATTTGTGTTCACCTGTAGCAGACCACAAACTGAGTGTACGCCACGGCGATCCAGTTGTGATGCCCGCAGATGATCCGAACCAGGCCCGGATCCGAGGACCCGCCCGTAGATGGCCTCTCCTCGGCACCGGTCCGACCCAGAAACCCTGAGGTCCCCAGGTTGGGCGGCATGGTGTTGCTGCGTCTGACCGGCGCTCTCTCCATCTGAACGCCCCGCCCCGCCATGAACTGCGGCCCGGCCAAGCTGTGACGGTTCCGACGCTTCACCGGGTACACTGGGCCCACACAGAACATCAGAACCATTTGGGTCAGAGTTGTCCTTCAGCATTTAAACTCAGTAGAAGTTACAGAACCCAGTAGAACCAGCTGTTGTTTACAGAACATTAAGAGTTGAACATCAAACGTCAGAACCTTTACTGCAGGTTCTGGTTGGAGGAACCGGTCTAGAACTTTTGCACAGTGTGGATGTGGACTTCATGGTTCTGGACTCAGAACCTGTGTGGGTTCAGGTGAGTTACCTGGAGGAGGCAGGTAACCGTTGAACAGAACATTTCCACAGGAGGACCGGTCCAACTCGTCACACAGCTGCAGCTTACGCACTGAAAACAAACAAACAAACAAACAAATTTGTTTAGTTTTAAAATGAAGGTTCTGATCCAAACGGGTCTAGAGTTCTGGACAACAGTTCTGCAGACGTCTTGAACGTCTTTTAGTTTTCCCGGAAAAAAATCACAGAAAGGGACGGGTTTGTTTTTGTTGTTTTATGATTTTAAAAACAAACTGTAAACAAAAACCCAACAGAACCTGAAAGAACCTTCTCATCATCACGGCTCTGAAGCTCCAGCAGAATCTGGACCTGACTGTGTAGAAGTTCTGGTTCTGACCCACAGACCCAAACATTAACCATTTATGAGCGCAGTTAACATTTCAAAGTTCTGGTGTCTGTGGCTCTTCTCAGTGATCCAAACTTCCGGAACCACCGGTCCAGACTCTGGACTCTAACAAGGTCAGAGACACACGATCCATCCTACAGAACCATCAGAACCTCCAAACCAGTTCGGACTGAAAGAACCGAAAGCTTTCATGAATCATTTTGAACTCCAAACACGAAAACAAAAACATCGACCACGACTCATTTTAAACCATCAGACAGGAAGATGCCGGCAGGAATTCCTGGGCCTCACCCAGCGGCGTGATGCCGTAGAACTCTGCCTCGTGCATGAGCATGTGCACGTTGATGGTGCGGGGGTACAGCTCTTTGGTCCGCAGGAAGTTCAGGATGGGAGCGAAGAGGGCGGGGTCTCTGTCGATAAAGATCTGCGCAGAAAACAAATGAAATGTCACAAAACCAGGAAGTCAACGCCTCGGATCCAAGATGGCCGCCACACTCACCGCGCCGGTCTCATCTTTCAGCGTCGAGATCCGACCGCTCAGAAGACTGCGGACCAAAACACAACCAGCTGTTAGGTAAACAACAACACAAACACGGACAGATAATGGGCAAACAACAACAACACAAACACGTTAGGTAAACCACACAAATAGATGTCAGGTAAACAACAACAACACAAACACGGACAGATAATAGGCAAACAACAACAACACAAACTCAACCAGCTGTTAGGTAAACAACAATAGCACAAACATGAACAGATAATATGTAAACAACAACACAAACATTAGGTAAACCACACAAATAGATGTCAGGTAAACAACAACATGAACAGATTTTAGGTAAACAACAACAATAACACAAACAGATAATAGGTCAACAAAAACAACACAAACTCAACCAGCTGTTAGGTAAACAACAATAACACAAACATGAACAGATAATATGTAAACAACAACACAAACACAAATAGATGTTAGGTAAACAACAGATGTAAGGTAAACAACAAAAAGACAAACGGATAATAGGTAAACAACAACAACACAAACAGGTGTTAGGTAAACAACAACCAGCTGTAAGATAAACAACAACACAAACAGATGTTAGGTAAACAACAACAACATAAACAGATGTTAAACAATAACATAAACATATGTTAGGTAAACAACAACACAAACAGATGTTAGGTAAACAAAAACACAGGACATATAAACATGACATCACGATTAGCAAAAGCTGAACCAAACCACAGAAACAGCTTGTCAGTCAGTTTGTGTATTTGTTTGTTTGTTTATTTGTTTGTCTGTTTGATTTTAACAGGCAGGAAGTTTCTGTCTTGGACACACCTGGAGAAAAAGGAGTCAGGAACCCAGGTGAGCGTCTGTCGGGAGGTGCTGAACCTGTAAACAAACAAACAAACATTTGGTTCCGGTCAGTTTCACATTTTTAGGGTAAAAACAGCAGGAAGTCTGAATGACTCAGAATCCACATGAAGTGGTTCTTCTCCGATCCGGTTTCTGTCCTTCATCATTAAAACCAGGTCCAATCTACCCGCTGAGTGTCAGACCCAGAACCCTAATGATGCCCAGAGTTCTGGGTCTACAGCAGATCCGGTTAAAAGACTGATGAGCCTTCACCGTTCAGTTAGTTCCATTATCGGACAGGGACAACTCTCAAAATTTAAGCTAAATATTAATTTAAATAATTAAGTTTTTTTATACAGATTATTAAAATAGTTTTTAATGTTGCTTTCCTGAGCATTTTGTTATTTTTATTGCAACTAAACACCTTTTGACAATAAAACCGACTTATTTCTGGTTATTTGTACGACGCTTTGTTGACGAGAGAGCAGCAGAGAAAAAGGTTGAGCTGAAGGAAACCAAAGAAAACCCAACTTTTTTTTTAACCCAAATAAAAAGTCTGAGGGCAGAAACGTATTTATCAAGTTGAATAAAAATGCATTTCTGGTAATAAATGTCGTGAAACGATCCTGTCCGATAATGGACGCCGCTCAGTTAGCATTGTTTTTAGCATTAGCCGTCGCGCGCGGCTCACCTTTTCCCACCAACATTCAGGTGGATAATTTCTCCGCTCCTCGCGGGAACAGACATCTTCTGAATACTTAAAAGTTCCCGAAGACCAGACAGAAACACGGCTTAGTCCATGGTACAGATGCGGGGCCGGTTTCCGGAGAAGCGCGGAGGCGGAAGTTAAAACCAACGAAGAAGAAGATCCGGGTCAAAGGTGAAAATTGGACTGGCACTCAAAACAAGTCCAAAACGGAAAAATGTTTATGTTTTAAACTAAATAAATCAATTTAAAAGAAATCTGACTTGATGGTTCTGGAGGTTTTTGTGTCTATTATTTTTGTAACGTTCAGATTTATTTATTTATTATTTGTTTGTAATCGTGTCACACTTAATTTTGAATTCTCACATTTTACATTTTGTCAGTTTTATGGAAAAAACAGTTTCCTGATTTTAATATTGAATTTTTATGCATTAAAATATAATGAATAAATGTGTCAGGGGAAAATAACGCTTTTTACCTAGAACATTATTTTCTAACCTAAGTTAAACAATTAAAATAAAACGGCCTGATAATGAAATAACTACTTCCAAAATAAAAGGACAAACATGTTTATTTAACTATTGATGTTTTATTTAAATAATGCAGTTTTCATGCACATTTTTAAACAAAACCCTGTAGTTATTTTATTTTATGATAAAGTCTGACTGTTTAAATCTTAGTTTTATGGATGATGCCGTTTAATGTTTCTGCAGTTTTACATTTTTCTTCTTAAATTTGTGTCTAAAGAAAAGAGAAGAAACATTCAAACTTCCTCGGCCTGTTCATTGGGAGGAAACTGTAAAGTCCCAGGAGGACCCCCTCCCCGGTCTGAAATTACAACACACTGGGGAGGGGGTCACGGCTCAGAAGAGGTCAGAGACTCGAGGGCCCGATCGGACCTCCCACCAACAAGAGAGCTGATTGTTTATGTTGTTTATGTTGTTTATTTGTCATACTCAGGTTAACACGAGGTCAACAATGAAATGTTCAGGATGAGAAGAACTGATTCAACTCGCTAAAAACAAAACAAATAAAACAAGAAATACTAAAGCATGTAATAAGGGTACAAAATAAAGTACCAAAAAGTGATAATATAATATTTACAAAGTCCAAAAGAAATATAGTAAACAACAACGTGGTAGAATATAACGGTGCAAGTAGGATGACTTGTTGATCTGAATTCAAACTAGCTGAAGTTTTAGATTTTATTTTTTATTATTTCTAAGCAAAAAATCAAAGATCAGGCTTCTTTTAGATCTTTCTTCAGAAAAGAAACAGAACCAGGAGCAGGAAGCTGAAGAGACGAAGGAGGAACGCCCCCTGGTGGGTGGTTCCAGTACAGCTTTAAGCCCCGCCCCTTCCATGTAAACCATTAGGGCATTTTCCCAACTGAAAAAACAAATAAAACAAACAAAAAAAAACACTTGTTCAGGTGTTGATTGATCATAAAGCTCTGACCTTGCTGCAGTTTAGATCCATTTTTTTTGTCTATATATTTTTAATTTATTATTTATTTATTAACCTTCATTCAGTGAGACAAACCCCGCTGAGATCACAGATCTGTTTTGAAGAGGGACCCGGACCTGAATGCAGCCTAGCACGCATGCTTTTGGACTTTTCACGAGGTTTGTTGTTGTCGTCGTTTAAATAAGTTTATTTTCAATAGGATTTTGCGTTACGCTGTGATTGACAGCCTGTCAGCCAGTTGAGAGAGTGTGGAGGCGGGACTACTGAGGGTACCGCCCCACTCGGCTCCAAACATACAACACGGGGCGGAGATTCTTCGGCCATCTTTGTTGACGCCGAAGACTTGATTCCCACTCTGACCAGTCGTGTTTTGCTGTAACTTTGTGCTGAAATGCAACTTTTATTTTGACATTTTATTTCAGTTTTACACAGTAACGACTGCATGTTTAATAAAAACAACACACTTAAGAGTTTTAACAATTATTATGGAACGGAACAATCCGTCTGTGGAGCAGCTTTTCCCTCGTTACAGAACATTTACAACACCCCAGTCAGAAAGAGAGCATATCATCATCATCATCACCCACTGCTCCCTCCTGCTGGCAGATTGATGTGTTTTGGGTTTGCAGACATTCTGTAAATAAATAAACAAAACCTGCTTTAATTAAAGGTGGTGGCGCAGAGGTTAGAGAAGCTGGGCCTGTGATCGGAAGGTCGCCGGTTCAACTCCCCAGACCAGCAACATCAAAATGTGGGTGGAGAAGGCGAAACATCCACACCTGCCTCCACCCTCATTTGCCCCACTCTGGGCCCTTGAGCAAGGCCCTTAACCCCCACCATCTGCTCCCAAACAGGTCTCTCTGAAAATGAGTCCTCGTGACTCAGTGAGACTAACCTGCATAAATAAAGGTTCAATTAAAATTGAATGATTTGGAGAAGAAAGAAGCAGAGACCTGGAGGAGACGGTTTGATCAAAGTGTTTTTGTTTGGCAGTGAATGTTTCTCATGACGTCAGGCAGATGAGCATGCTGGTTCTGATGAGCCTGGGTCTGCTGGTTCTGCCCACAGCGTCACATCTGGGTGGTTTCCTCTGGTCCAGCAGCAGCATAAAGGAGGCCGCTGCACTCAGAGCCAGGAAGTCCACATCTGCTCCTTGGTCCGCTCAGTTTGACCTGAAGAAGAACCCCGGGAGGACAAACATCTGGATGGAACGCACATCTGCGTCTGCATGAGGTGAGAACAGAAAATATGATGTTTTGTTTTCTGCTGATCTGAGTCTGGAACCAGCAGAACCGAATGAGAACTGTGCATGTTCTCATAGTTTAACAGGTTTTATGACTTTAATGTGCAGATTAATGAAGTTAAATCTACTGGATCCTCCCCGGTCATCAGACAACCGGGTCACACCGACCCACATCTGGTTCTGGAAACAGGTTTTATCTTTTCTAACTGGATGAATAAAGTTTCTTGTGGTTTTTGATGGAACTGAGAGGCTCGTTTAAAGGTTCTGGACGCTTCTGATGAATTTAAGGAGTTTTTTTTCAGTAGAAACATGAAGAATAAAGAACTTTTAAAAGATTATTAAGATCTTAACATTAAAATAGAAACTTTTCATTCTAACTTTTCATTTAGTTCCGACCCGTTTCTGGGTTTAAACATAGCCCGGTTTGTGGTCCGATGCAAATCTGCGGTTTTTGGCCTTACTGATAAAACATTAGCAGCTAAAATAAAAATCATTATCAGCTTCATCTTTACCGTACGGTAGTTTTTGTGCTAAAAGTACCTGCTCACCGCTCTGAGAAGAGTTGACCACTTCTCCTTTTGAGGTTTGAACATTTATTCTTTCTGTTTCAGCTGCACTCAGATATAAAACAAGTTTAATTAAAACTAATTGATTCAGATCTGATGAGAAACAGACAGGAAGTGATTTAAATCATCAACCTGCCACAGGAAGCTGAGCTGGGTTTAAAGATCTGAGGTTCTGTCGGATCCAGTTCAACAATTCTAGATGAAATGATTCAAACAAAACTGGAAAAGAGAAGAACGGCTCCCAGGAGCTGCACAGAGTCAGCTTCATCTCTTCAGACTTCATTTTTAATGAACAGAAACACAAATGAAGTCGGAGTCGTGTTTGGCAGCAGCGGTTTGACGCCACATTCTTTCCACTCAGACTGTGGAGGAACTTTTTCTGAAGACGTTGGATCTTCTCTGTCAGGTTGTTGCATCAGTCAGAGTTCATCTGATGTAAATATAACATATTTAATGTCAGCGTATTTCTTCTGAAAAACGAAACGCTGCCAGCTGCTGGACTTCTGAAGAAGACGCTGCAGACTTTATCTGGAACGTCAGAGTGTTGACAAGTCATTTGTGTGTCAGATGCCTCTCTGACCTCTCTGACCTCTCTGACCTCTCTGACCTCGGTGTCGTTACATGAAGGAGTTTATAAAAACTTAAGTTCTTCTGCTCTAAAGACTGGGTCCAGTCCTGCTGCATCTCAGAGCCAGGAGCTGCTGGTGAGCTGGTCCTCACCACGAGGTTTCTGCTGCTCCGGAGCATTTAGGTGTGTGTTAACAGAATGCCAGGGTGGAAAGACATCAGCAATGACCTCAGAGAAGCAGTTGTTGCTGCCCATCAATCTGAGAAGGGTCAACGGTCATTTGCAGTCCATCATAGAGAGATTTTATTCACGTGAGAAAGACTCTTAGGACAGCTGACTTACCCCGAAGGTCAGACCGTGCGGTGAGCTCAGTCTCAGACTCTACAGTTCTTGTTTTATCTGGAGGAACCACAAGACTTCTGGGATAAAACCAGACCAAAAGACAGATGTTTACCCAGAATGCACTGCAGCAAACCCCTCCTCCCAGCTGTCAGCACGGTGGTGGAGGCTGATGGTTTGGGCTCCTGTCAGTCATCGAGTGGACCAGGAACTCTGTAGACAAAGGGTTCTGGAGTCAGATGAGATACTCGGACCAAACTGGGTCCAGCAGGACAACGAGCAGCTGTTTTACAACAGATCGGGTCAAACAGAACAGAACCAAGGTGCTGCAACGGTCCAGTCAGAGTACAGAACCTGAACCTGCTGGGACCTTCAGAGACCTCAATGAACTGAAGCAACGATGGAGAGAAGAGTGGACCAGAACTCTTCCAGAACCACCAAAGAGACTGATGAAGAAAACCACTGAAGGTTCTGCTGCTGAAGGCGGTTCTGGGTCAGGGCTGGACCCGGTGTTCGGTGAGCAAGACTCGGTGGAACCTGTTGTGAGTTTCTGTTGACTTGAAGTCAGATCTGGATCATTTCAGAACCAGATAAAGTCCAAATCAAGTTGATTGTGTCCTGATGCAGAACCAGAACTCTGATGAGTTCTGCTGTCAGTGTCAGGTCCTCTCAGCCTCCTGTCCCCCCTGGCAGGGAAACCCCCTCCCTTATGGGGCTTCAGGATCGAAGAGTCTCCTCAGATGGTCCAGAACGCACCTGGAACCCATTTCTAATCATCTCAGGTGCTCTGACTCACCGACCATCCCTTCCAGGTCCAGGTGGATCGTCCCTGCTCTGTCTGGGTCCTGGGTCTTTGACCCT